GCACACGAATGTTAATTGGGACAAGTGAAGTATTTTGCTTTAAAAAATATTTTTGTGCTTGTAAGAATATATTTTTTGAATGCATCCCAATGCACCTAAGTCATAGGGGCTTGTATTGGCTATTCTGTGTCTATCTTTTTGTGATCAAAAGAGAAAAATCACACACTTCATTAACTTAAAACTGCACTGCACTGGCAGTGACATTGTCTTACACTTGTTTTCAGTAGGGCTCAGATCAGGAGACCTCAGGACTGGATGGACTATCTGGGTACTGGGTTGTGCAGTCTAGACCAGCCACGATGCCAGCTCACCACCTCTTTTCTGTAATGGTCTGAAGCACTGCGGTAGCAGGCAAAGGCCCTGGCACTATAATCATAACTGTATCTAGATTAGTAGAGCTACTCTATGTGGTTCAAACATTTGTGGAAATGCTGGGTGTCAGCCATGCTGATTAATGCTCAAGTCATCTCCACAGACTAATCCCTTAACTTTGTTGTGTGGAAGTTTGAAGAGCAGAGATTGCTGTGTGGTGTTTGTGTGTTTTTGCACTGGCAAAAAAGGACTAGTTGCATCACTACTTTTAATGCTGCAAAGTAGACAACACCACAGTGTTGCACCTTCAACTGTTGTTACACAATTTAGTCCTTTCATTGTTTTCAAGTATCCATTTGTTTCAAGCTCCTCTCCTTATTATTTGTATCTAACATGCCTGTAATACTGGAAGAAGTCAGGTGGTTTTGAATTGTTCAAGTTCAAGTTTATTGTCATTATACTCATATACAGGTATATTGTATAAAGAAATGCTATTTAGCTAGCTCTCAGACGATAAGTAGTACAAAAAACAACAATACAATTGTATAATAAAAGAAAGACAGAGACAACAGGCAGTGTGCAAAACAACAACAACAACAGGCAATGTGCAAAACAACATCAGTTGTGCAAAAACATACATCAACAGAATGAAATAAAGAATAGAAAATTACAGGGAGTGAGCTTTTTAACATGTGAGGTAGAGGTAGATTTTAATGTGTGTTTGAGTTTTTGGTAATAAAGAAGGCACTGTGAGGTTCAGATCGTAGGTGAGAGAGGCTGGGAGTTTAATAGTTTGATAGTGCGGGGGTAAAAACTGTCTCTGAGTCTGGTAGTCCGGGCCCAAATGCTCCGGTACCGTTTTCCAGATGGTAGAGGGTCATACAGTCTGAAGCTGGAGTGTGTGGGGTCTTTGATGATGCTTAGAGCTTTCCTCGAGCACTGTCTATCATAAATGTCCTGTATGGATGGGAGGGCAACACCAGTGATAGACTGGGCAGTTTTCACCACCCGCTGTAGGGCTTTGCGGTCAGCAATACTGCAGTTGCCATACCACACTGTGATGCAGCCCGTCAGTGTGCTTTCTGTAGTGCATCTGTAAAATTTAGTGAGGATCTGGGGACATATCTTAGCCTTCTTCAACCGTCTTAGGAAATACAGACACTGTTGCGCATTCTTGATCAGACAGGTGGTGTAGAGAGACCATGTGAGGTCCCTGGTGATATGGACGCCAAGGAATTTGAAGTTACTGACCCTTTCCACTTCAGTCCCGTTGATGTGAAGAGGGGCATGTCCGTTTTGCAGTTTTCTGAAATCGCCGATCAGCTCCCTGGTTTTGGTGACATTGAGGGTGAGGTTGTTGTCTTCACACCATGTTGTAAGGATCATCATTGTCTGTGATCAGAGCTACAGCTGTGGTGTCATCGGCATACTTGATGATGGAGTTGGTGTTGTGTTTGGTCTTACAGTTGTGGGAGGTCAAACGGGTCCAGTTTCAAGATCAGCAACAACTGAGACGTCTGTTCCTGTAGTGACTATGAGTTCATAACAATAATTGTAGAGGGTTTTTTCAATTGTTTCCTGAATGAATTAGATTCAGATGTTGCCCTGGGGGGATATTTGGTTCAAAGGAGCCCCTGTATCTCTGTATAATTTGTTTTGTCATATCACCATTAATCACCGTGAGTAACCGTCAGGCATTCACTGCATTCCCAACGTATACATTCAGCACATAGCCATTCATATCATCCCGTGATATCACACCATGCAGATCGCAGCTCAACTTGCTGTAACAGATGTGCAGTTCTATTTGTGTTTTTAGCCCCCAGATGAAACGGATAAACACGTTTTGTGCAACATTCAGCAGAGGAGCAAGTCCTTGTTACTTCAATGCAAAAGCAGCCCACAACCCTACGGAAATGAAGACAGTACCATGTTTTTTGCCTGTTTTGCAAGGGTAAAAATGCATCACCTAAAAACATTTAATTGAAGGGTTCTGCAACATCAGTAAAGCTAGAATGGGAAATCAGGTTCACTATGAATTTTTGACGGCTAAGTTGAAAGAAGATTTGAATTGTAATGAGCATTATTTATGGTAATACTCCAGATAAGCATGCAGGGAGGGATATAACACTGAGTACCAGAACACCTCACACGAGCAGTGTGAGAAAAAGTTAATTGGACTACAAGACGGCCTTAATTGTATTTTTTATAATACTATGTTTTCATATGAATCATTAATATGTGATGATTCTTCTTGCCTAAACTTTTAGAAATGCTGTCCATGTTATTAAGTCAAAATAAAAAAAAATGACAGACCATATCTTCAAATCTTGTATTTGTAACAAGTTTATAGAATATAACGGAAACTGTGCCTTTTGACCAATTATAATATTTTAAGGTTAAGGAATATTCATTAATCCTATTGTTTTCTTAACATTTAGTATTGCTACTAAAATCCAGGCCAGTGCTGTTTTAAGATGCTTGCGTTGGATGCATCATGAAGGCACAATTCATCGAAGTGTTACAGCTCTTGATGTTTTAATGCTAAAGTATGTCCATGATATTGCACTGCTGCTTAGCTCGAGACAGAACCGAAAGCAGATCTCCATGCTGGGCTGAAGGTATAAATGTATTCATTTGAAAGCCATGTGACCATAGTGGCCGCCCAAGAAGACCGTGGCAAAATCATCAAACATTTGAAGGAGGGAGAGAGTTCTATGCCAAAGAAGCTCTGCTAGATTGCTCTATTTTACGAAGTGAGTGAAGTGCCACCTACTGGCCATGTCCAATAGCAGCAGTCTATTGTAATGATACTCCATTCCAAGAGGACTGCACTCCTGAAGATGCTGTAGCTGCCCTTATTCTGCTGCATGCTTTCTTTTGATCTGTCTCTATAGCCACTTTGCAGCACTTCTACATTCCCGCTGCTCTTTATCATGCATTAGCCTAGTGTTACCAATTGATAAGATCACTTTATTGGCCATATACAATTTCTTGTATTTGGAATTTGTCTTTTCGCATACCCCAGCTTGCTCTCCGTGAGACACACAGACAGGGAGAGAACCTTGGGGTCAGAGCGCAGGGCTGGCCATTTATACGGCGCCCCTGGAGCAGCTGGGGTTAAGGGCCTCGCTCAGGGGCCCAACGGAGTAGGATTCCTCTGCCGGCCGCGGGATACAAACCGGCAACCTTCCAGCCACAGGCGCAGGTCCTTAGCCACAGAGCCACCACACCGCAGTGTGGAACTATTAAAACATTTTATGAAAAATATTCTTCATTTCAGATCATGAAAATGTACTATGAATTGTGGTTTTATGATGAGTTCATTAGTCATATACAGTATACTATAAAATGCAAGTAATAGGTGTATTCCATGCTAAAAACAGAAGAGAGAAACAATGTTTCGGCTGTGAAGCCTTTTTCAGGTGTGAGGGCCTTATACTGCACACATTACCTGTTCCGGTCTTGGTAGTGTTCCTGCTACAAACTATATACAGTACCTTCTTATATTCCTTATATCTCAAAATATTTTCGCAGAATGTAAATTTGCATGAGTCTGGCATTTGTTTCAAACTTGGCCATGTTAAAAGTTATTGTATTTTCTCACAGGTTGTTAGCTGGTAATGTACTACTGAAATAATACATAACCTTGCCATTAGCTTTATCTTTCAATATGAAGACTGTGCTTGATGTGTTTGTTCTACATTATTTTCTTAAGCCAATGAAGATGTAAGAATGTGAACTAGGCCATTGGCTTTGTTTGAAACTACTGTCTTTCTCTGTTGGTATATCTTTCACCATGTCAGTTTGCCACTGGAATTAGCAGTGACTGCAATTTGTGAAGCAGATGTCGCATTTCAGCTTCTTATAATAATGTGAATGTGTGAATAGAGCAGGACAGTAGTACATTTAAAACTAAACTGTCGGCACTTCTTTACACAAATGGTTGTGGGACAGCTGCCCAGTCATGTCCTTGAAGGCTTACTTTACCAAACTGCTAGATGAGCTCTTTGGGTTTATTAGATACTAAAAAAAGTCACTGAACTGCATGCGTTAAGCTGGAGGATTTGATGGGGTTGTGATGAAAACTAAAGCTGACTGAGAACAGTCTAGATTGCCTGGTCAGCTGGTCCCTAATGCAGCAGACACAAGGTGCGCTTGGAGACACTCAGGGGAACGTCTTCACAGGGCAGCACCTTGATGGACACCAGACAGCCCTGTATTTTAGTTTAATGCCCCTGCAGCTCTAGTTCAAAGTAAGACCCATCCATGTCCACCTGTCAATAAGCATGGATGAACTTTGCAGTGTTTCTGAAATATTCTCCATAACTGGATTAACTCCCAGCTTTATGGTACAAGCACGTTACTCCAGGTTTCCATTTGCCGGGAGCTTCTTGTGTCTGGTCAGTGGAAAACTGACAGCATGTGCAAGCTGTGGGATTTCCCCACAGGGTGGACAGTGAAGTACAGCGTAGTGGAATTGCACCAAGAAGGCTGTAAGGCACCTAATCTTGGTTTAAAAGAAATTAAGTATCCTAACGGAGCATGTGACCGGTTGAAAAAACAATATGGAAAGTGAAAACATAACATCCTGGATAACAACACAGAAACATGTAAATCGTTCTGAAAATAAACTTAGGAAATGCGTTTTCCATTGACGAGTAAAAGACCAAAGTGAACAGAAACACTGACCCTGGAGATCCATTTTATTTAACATTTTGTGGAAGTGTGAGGGATACAATGTATAGCTTCTGTATAAGTGGACACTTCATTTCACTGAGAATCAGCAGTCATCTTTTGCAGATGTGTGTGGTTGGCTTTCAAGAGTTGTACTCTTTTCCTAATTCAAATTTCTCAGTCAACCCCCTTCAGAGTGATCAGATTACTTTTCACCTTTATGTCCAGCATACAATTGTCAATAAATAGTCATCCAAAATATTTATAAAAAGAACCTTTATGCGGTCATTTCAGTAATAACCTTAGATTCCAGTAAAAGGGTCCTTTACATTTTTTTAAATCACAGAAAAATAAAAAATAAAAATAAATATGAAAATAATTTACAATAAAGGAAAAACAGAACAAAGCTGTAACATAAAGTGCAATTAAAATCAACTTACAAAACAATCAGAAGGCAAGGCCTATTGAAATCGACTTAATAGGAAATTCCTTCATAAACGAAAAGGATGATAATAAAATGTCTTGTTTTGTATTAAAACAGCATTAATCTACCTAAAAGCCTTGGATTATATAAGTCAGCTCTTTAGTCATAGCAATATGGTACTGTCTCATAATACGAAAGTTGATATAAAGTAAAAATGACATTTACTAATTTACTGCTAGCATTCTGAAGCAGAGTTTTATGAAACAGATGGGACACTTGTGCTGTCCAACAACTAGACTGAATCATAAAGCATTTCTTTCCTTCAGTTCCAGCACACACTTTACTTTGTACCGTTGAAGTAATTTATCCTCTGAAACAAGTCATCTAGTACCCTAGTAATACATCTTCCCACTTTGCGTACAAGACTCAGCTTAGTCACACAGTTCTCGCACTATAATCAGAACAGTCTCTCGGCTGTACAATAGCGCATTTTTACCTATTGCTTTGCAATAGTTGTCAGTATATAAATCAGCGTATCAGAAATCTAGTTTTAATCATGGAGGTTGTAAGCTGTGGCAGTTCTCTTGTTTCAGCAATTTCTGATACAAGGAAAACATTGGCACTGCAGTCCCGCTGCTTTGTAGTTTGCTATAATCATAGCATTATTTTCAGAAAATAATAAAAACTAGGTCTGTATGTTGCAAAGTATAGCAGTCGCAGATGGTTAACAGAACAATCTGACCAGAGAGGCCATGGTAATGTGTCCATTATTGCACACACAAGTGGCAGCCAGCGTGCTGGAAAGAGTTTGTTTTTACCATGTGGACAAAGTGGATTCGAGATCTATATAAGCACTAAAAAAGCATAGGTTTTCACCGTGTTACAAAACACACTCTTGTGGTAAGTTTTCTTTATCACATCATGTATTGTTTTAGAATGTCGTGGCCCCAACATGGGTCCTAAGTGGAATAAGTACATTGTGCTCTTCTGTGAACTCAAAATATCCACCACAGACCACTTCATGCTAGTTTCCTTTCTCCTCAGCACTTGTGATCCAGAATGTCTTTGCCGTCTGCTGTCCCGTTGAGGGACACGTGGCCCTGGTTCAGCGAGGGGCTGGACTGTGTCTTCCGCAGACAGCTCTCCTCTCCTTCCACACTGAACAGGCTCGCCTCGATTTTCTCCAAATCATCACTTTCTACCTTTAGCTTGGCCTTCAGGAGGTGAATGTATGTTTCATATCGACTTTTCTGTGGAGGTAAATTAGAAGAGAGCAGTGAGTTCAATAGAGCTCAATATAGAGAACACAAGCTGGCACGGTGCAGATTTTCTTACAATGCAGATTAGTGTGATAGGGTGTGGGGTTTTAATGACTGAGAAATAAATAGCCTGAAATGCCAGTGCTCTTTCCTCTTGCCATCAAGTCTTCCAGTTCACATTCTATCACCCTCACAGGCACGTGATGAAAATAAATAGCTGTATAACTAAGTATTAAAGTTTAAAATATCTTCTGAGACATCTGTTTAGTCCCGCAAACTCGCAACATATCCCCTCGTCTTGTGACTCACTCGTGCTTAATTGATCTTTTACTCCTTTAAATGAATATTAAAGGAGTGATACTGTGACTAGAGAAAAGCTGTAGGATCCGTTGGTTGAAAGTCCACGATACAAGATTTTTACATCGAAATTGATCTAAATTAAGCTTTGTCTCATTAAAAAAAAAATAAGAACAGCAGTACTCTGCTGATATGCATAACCTATTGTACTGACCCAAAAAAATGTAATCTGGTAAGATCAATGCTTAAAACTCTTAAGTCAGTATTGAATCTGCAGGCCAATTAGTTTGATTAAAAATGTGTAGTTATATTCAATATCAAGGGTGTCAAAATGCCTTACCTATGGTCCACACAGGGGCAGTATATAGATAGGAGGACCTGCAGAAATGTGTACTGAAAGATTGTACAACTTTAAAGACCCAGAATTGGGTTTCCAAAACATAGTGTGTTTTAAATTCCCAATGCTATAAGCATTTAAGCCACATAACCACTTTGATACAAGAAAAAAAAAATCTTAGAAATTATATAATGAAATATTGTTGCATCATATCTCACTTGTCATATTATGACAATTTTTAACTTGGTAGTCACAGACTGCAGTCGAGTGGTATCCTTCAGGTTGGTGCTGCCTCTAGGCACTAGAGCACTGCAGCTGGTAAACATTAGCTGTATCTATCACTTTATTCTGGCACATCAGAAGAAATCCAGAAAAAAATCTCAATTTTGCTAACACAACAGATTGAAAATCTGCTTTCTGGGTTAACACGGAAGGTGCTGTCAGCGTGTGAATTCTTTTGTTTGAAAATCGAACGTGTTCCTGAACCTTCAGGTGTGCCTGCCAGGCTCAGTTTATTGACTGACCGGCCAGCACTGGAAAATTCCATTCCAGCGACTGGATGATCAATCAGTCACTTAGCCACCTGGTGCAGAGCTTTTTTCTTCCTTTTAACTTGTGATTGGAAAGGAGAAACCTTGTGAATCACTGAACCCTTTCAGCTCACTGATCTTAATCTCTGAAGTACCTCATGCTGGTTAGTGCAATCTAAAATGAGAGCCGCATAACCCAGTGCCTGCAGGGCAGAGGCAAGACTACATAGTAAAATGAACAACCATACTAAGCGTTATTTAACCACTTTATTATTTCTAGTGCAGTGTCCTCAGTGAAATGGACACTGTTGTGACTCGAGGGGTTAGAGGCATTTGTGTGAGAGAGGGAGGGCTCAGTAATCTCCGTGTCATGGGCTCAGTCTGAGTCACCACGTCACTATCTGACTATGACCAGGACTCTCCAAGCAAGTGCATGATTGTCCAGAGTGCTGCCCAGGGGAGAATAAATGGCCGCAGGTGTCTGGGTGAGACAGCGCCCCCTGTGGCCTCCAAGGGTGCCTGCGGGCTTGGGGTGCTGTCAGTAAGATATGCACCTCTCCTCTGGTTGCTGCTGAACCTCCTGTGATGTTTTAACATTTCAAAATGAGTAGCTTGCAAATGAGAGGGACCAGAGGAGTTTCCCTGCACTTCCTCTCTCTCTCCTGAGTTAGGGCTTGGGTTCAAAACCCTTGAGCTGGTCCAAGAGAAAGGTACAACTGGTGATCCCAAAAGCACGGGAGAATCCACTTATTATTATTATTATTATTATTATTATGGCAGTGGTTGTTTGAAAACTTTACTTTGTTTTACATGGTTGTGTGAAATGTAAGATTATACTGAAAGACTGTTAATGTTTTATCAGTACAACTGCAAACTAATGTTTAAGTACTTGATTAAGTTGGTTAATTTTGGTTAATGGAGACAAAGGTCTTGTTTGTTGGCTGTAGAAGCTGAGACAGTCGGATTCATGTAGGACATCTTGCAGAAAGCATTAACAGCAATATCTTAACCGATTACAGCTTATCACATTCATTCAGATCAACACATGTACAAACTGTTGTTTAAATAACTGATGTATTAATAATGAGGTAAGGCTGTTTTGAATTTATTTTTTAGAAAAAATGGTGAATCTGACTCCACTCACATTTGATTACTCCAATCTCAGTAATCATGATGATGTATCATTATCTCTCGAACAGGTCACACAGCTCAAGATAATACATAATATCCTCTCCTCTAAATGCCTTTATCACAAGTGTGTAAAAAAGAAATGTCAGCCCACCTCAAATATTAGATAGTGCTCCTTCAGTCTGTATTCCTCTGTTTCTTTTGTTTTTAAGGTTTTGTCGGGGGAGTTTTTCCCATGTTCTTCCACTTCTGCAGAGATCTGTTTGAACTTGTTCTCGTGTGACCTCAACTGCTCCTCCTAGCCAGCAAGCCATGGAAATAAAGCAGAAGTCATGCGATGAGTTACAGTCATCCAGAAAGCACTGTGTGCATCAAGAGTGCATTACTGAATAACAAAAGGGTGGGACTCTTGCCAGAAGTCAACCCTAATCCCATGTTCCCCTTTGCCATTGGACACAAACCTGAAAGAACTAGTGTTCCCTGTGCTGCAGGCGCCTCGGGGCCTCTGTGAGCAACAAGAACAGCTGTAAAAGCATGTGATGTGACACATGAGGTTCCGAAATTCCCTCAGCCCAATCCCATCCCCTTCTTCGAAAATAATCGCCTTTAGACTGAGGCTGTGATGATAGGGGTGATGGTACCGTACGTGGGACTGAAATGTATGTTCCAGTGTTTCCATCCATTTTCAACAGAATAGAAAAGGGGGATTAACTGGCTAAGGAACGTGATGGAAGTCAGACACCAACCATTCCGGCAGTCCTTTCACCTGACGTACCTGCATTTTGGCCAGTGATCACATAATATGCCTGTCTCCCTGTAAATTAAGGAAGATGACGAATGCAGATTTGACAGCCCGAAATTCATGGAGGAGGAGGATGCCTTTTTGTAAATCTGAAGGATCACTCATCAGTCTCTCAATTCCCTTGTGATGTTGAAGAGAATCCTATAGTTTGTAAAAATGGAACATGTATGATCTGATAGCTAATGTTTGAGTTCAGAAAACTTCATTTTCATACTGTCATGTGTGCTTAGCTTGTACTGTGGTGGCAAAGCAGATCTGATGGCTCACTGTGAATGTTGAAGCTCCTGTTGAAGCACCCATGTTTGGCCCAGACCAGGTCAAGATGCTGACCAATTAATTACTGACCATGCTGACCAATTAATTACATGATCTCCAGATTCAGAGAGACCACCCCCAGCGATTACTTCCACATGGGAATAGGTGCTGCCTGCTAATACAGTTGGGTGTCATGGAACGTCCATAATTAACTAGTACTTAGCTAGTTATTTTAGAAAGAATTTGGTATTGCATTTCTTTATTGTCTCAGTACCCTTTCTAGGAAAATATGGGCAAAATGGAATATAATATTTCTTATTATTTTAAAACTGCAGCATAGTCACACTTCAACCCATTCAATTCCGTTTGTTTTTCTTTTCTGTCCACACGGCTCTTTGCTTGAGGTGTCGGGCGACCCCCCTCCCTCCTGTCAAGGGCACCCTGTATAGCGGGTGCGCAATGGTGTGTGTGTGTGTGTGGGGGGGTGCGACCAGCTCCTCTGCAGTGTACAGCCAGACTCCTCTCCCCTTCCGCCTTGTATCGATCTGGAGATACGGCTCCTGGTTGCCATGGTAACCCCGAGGCGCACGCTGCAATGCTGTCGAGGCGGGGAGAACGAGAGAGAGAAATTCCCTCTTCTCTTATTCCCTGGCCAAGTCCATCCCCAAGGTGGGAGCTCACGAGACACGGCCTTCCCCCTGCAGCAAAGAATGTTTTGCAGCGGGTGCAGGTATGTAAAAAAGGACAACATCCCTATTTTGATAATCCAAGATGGCTCTTTCTGCTCAGGCTCTGTTCGCTTGCATGTAGGACAATATAATCTTAGCACATTTCATATACCAGTATTGCTCACCTTAAGGCCAAGGGAGAGATTCTGTCCTTTTTCTTCACATACAAAATAGACAATCTGATTTTTAAATTCTAATTAATGTTGCCGGTGTATGTTTTTCACACCTTGTTGGAGTTGTGCTGTTGCAAGAATTTGCATTTTATGTTTGTCAAAGCAAAACAGGCTTACATCATCTGCCTATCTTGCTGGGTTTTGTTAATGAGACAACCTAAAGACAAAGTGTCGTCTTGACATTTTGTTCACCATCAATGGATCCCTAATGACACTGTTAACAGTGCTGACAAGAGATAAGTGCAACCTGTGTGAAGTGTTGCATGAAAGACGAAGAATCACGCTGCTATAATGTTTTATATGGACATGGCAAAAACTAATTTCACATAAAATAATTTTAAGGTGTGCAAGCAAGAAACAGAAAGCTAACATTCACCTTAAAGGGTTATTTAGCAAACGCTGTTTCCTTCATGGGTGTACAAGAGTAGTTACATGCAATCCAATCCAACGGTCTCTTCTCAAGGATTGTAAAAGCAAACAAGCATTGGTTTGATCATGTTACAATGGTCAAATTATAGTTTCTTATTTATATTGGTGCAAAATAGTTCCAACTTGTCTACTCCACTTGAGATACGTGACAAATATGTTCCTAGACCATATTCTAACACATTCCCTCGACTCTCTTCATTTCCAATAAGGAATAAAGCTCCTGCCTACCTGGGAGAGCTTGGTGGTAGATGACGGCAGAAGTGGCCGGCAGAATTTCTTCATGGAGCCTATGGCTGCAGGGAAAGCCGGGGCCGAGAAGAGGGCAGCGACCAAGTTGATCCTGAGGATCCAGGACATCATCTCCTCTTCACTCCTGCGAACCCGATAACACCAGGATCACTCATGGGCCGCGGCGTGCAGAGGCACAGCTCAGCAGCCTCATGCCCTCTCTGGCCGCACTGCACTAGGGCTCAGTCACTAGGATTAGCTGTCATTTCACCTACAGTAAGTGTCTTATTTAGATTCCCAGGGTTAAATGAAGTTATAAGGTTATTAACAGAAAACACAACACGGATCCATGCACTGTACTGATCAGTGTCAGGTTAACCCTAGGACACAGCCCTTAAAAACTCCACGAGTCTCGTGGTCAGGTCTGGAAGACCTGTACAAGCAAATGATGAACTGTTCAAACAAGAGGGCTTATCACTCCCCTTGTGACAAATCACGACACAATGGTAGAGTGGGCACGTCAGGTCAGAGGCTCTGCATTCTAAATCAGAGTAATATCTGACGGGAGAAGAGGGGGGGAATTAAGTGCCTCTCACAGGGATGAGTTACGATAGCAGTTGACACAGCACTCTGGGCTTCGACTGGTATGTGGCCATTGTACTTTATCCCAGCTCTTAGCCTCCTTGCAAGCTGATTCGGAGACCACAGAGCCACCTTGGTTGTCACGGTGGATCAGTGCAAGTTCTGAAGCAGACGGGAGGTGTGGCACTACGAGCAGCTCCCCACACACACGTATGAGGGAGAAGGGACAGGGAGCCTCGCTGAAGTGGGTTAAACGTGACCGAAGAGGGGAGAGGACGCTCGCAGAGGGAGCAGGACGGGTGACGATGCAGAACTGGGTGACAACGCAAGTGTTTCTGAAACCCTTCTTTCTGTTTTCCCATTACAGGAGGTTACCTCTGACTGTGTGCATGAGGTTCTTAAATGAAATTCTGAGATGGTTCAATACTGGGACTATCTGAAAGAGGCTTTGTAGAGTAAAAAGCAAAAAATATATATATCTGGACAGGTAACAAGGGAGGCTTTATCTAACCAATAACGAAACAGAAAATATATGCACAATTAATGCTGGTCTAAGTGAAGCAACTGTCACCAAATGGGCAAGATAGGCTGAATGGTCCTTCTCTCACCTGTAGCCTTTCTTGTGTTCTTATGAGGCAGTGGTAAGTAAACACACAGAAGTGCTTCACTGACTGAAGAAGAGCTCAGAATAATGTTGGGAAATGTTTTCGAAGTATAATTTGAAACTTGAAGTACAGTATAGCGTTAATTGGAGTAAAGCATGACTGTTTTATGACATTTCATCAAGTATAAATATTTCATTATAAACTGTGTCCAGAAAAGTTCAAATGTGTCTTACAATGTACCTCTCACAGATACTGCCATTTATGATATGAGTCTTTTAATGTGATTCATTGAGGCTGAAAGTACAGCACATTTAAAATGGCTGTTGTTTGCTCATATGTTTGCTGTGAAATTTGTTTAATTTGCACTGAACCGAACAATAGTCTATTGTGGTTCATTTGCACTAAAACGTTTTTACTTTGACTTTAACTATGTTATATTCCCAGGAGCCTCTCTAGAATTTGCTTTTGTTTTTACTCTTCAACCACCAAAAATATTTTTATCTTTTGGGATTTCAAATGACATTTCCACAACACTGCTGCAGCATATTTCTGTGTAAATAAACACAGGCTGAGGGAGTAACTGAATCCAGAACCAGGCTTTCACCAGACACCACAAACTCTTGAGCCTGGACACCAGTTGCCTTGTTATCACCTCAAAACATAAATATCTTGTGTTACTTCTGTTCAAAACAGTTAATGTTTTTTCTTGAGAAAGATTATGAGTTTGAGTAAAAGTCTCCTTACGGGGCCTGAAAAAGAAACACTCTCCAGTCAGCTGTCTTCAATTTGAGGACGCTTGGTCTCTTGCTGTAGTCTGTGGCCTTTGTTGCTAAGGCGTGGTGAATACGAATGGCATTTTTCAAATCCACTTCAGAAAGGTCTTTGTCAGGCTTATATTCATCCTTAGAACAAGAAAAAACTTATATAAATCACAACGTAAATGTACAGTGTAAAGCAGAAAGCTGACATTTCAGGAAAATACCTAGTCCACTTTGAATCCTGCGAAAACAAACTCAGTGATTTGTTGTCAGCTAATGTTCCAAAACCTAAACACCCTGAACTTTATTTTTAGAGTTAAACAAATTTTGCACACAGTTCGTATAACATGCAATGATAAACGCCACATCAAATGCTCACATCTGCTGGGCAAAAAACTCAGTACTACCTTCTGCAGATACAGAATGGTTCCTTTCAGAACAGCATAGAACTTCTTCCAGCCTCTTCTTCCTCTTGGTGCTGAGAAAACACACATTACAGGTTGGTTTACAGCTACTGCATCACAACATTGAAAACATACTTACAGAGTACAGTTTTTTCATTTTGAATAATCCATTAATGTTTCTAATAGCATGAGACATCTTTTCTGTTCCATTATCGTGATAAGAAACACAAATCATACCAAATAAACAAGATGTGTTAAATTATTACTATTCTTTAACCCCCAACTTTCGCTGCAGTTATAGTTAACAAATGTCACTCTAATTTAACCATAAGTTTAATTAACGAGAGGAAATTCATAGTTCTCTCCACACCGCGACTGTACAATAGACACTTTGTCCTTCTCTATTTTAAGGTTAACATAACTTCTAAAACTTCCATCTCAGATAGGCTACATACAATATATATATATAGCATTTGCTGGAATATTAGCTACATGAATAGTGACTAGTTAATTACATGAAACAAAAAAGGTAATCTGGAAAAAAAACTCACTAGGATTCATAATTTGCAGCCTTATTTACCATGGTTCATTGCTTTTGTGCACACTTTAAAAACAGGTGGTGCATACAGTATGTCTTTTCCTTTTTCTCACTTTTTTTTTTACATACTTGTATTCTTAGTTTGTTTATCATCATCATGAGCCCTGCAAACTGCACAGTAACTCATAGGGGAAAACTCCCGATGGCTGTTTTTTTTTTTCAGAAAAAGGAGAAGATTGAGCTTAATCTCCATTTGTAAAGAGGCTTCCTTGTGATTTGTGCAACAGTGATCACGGCTGTCTGTCTGTGTTCCAGAAAGCCATGATGCAAATGGCAGAGGGGAATGACCTGGTGGAATGTGGACAATGCAATTCCCCTCCCAGTATGTCTTTCTGTTCTGAGTATCTGGTCCCTTGCAAGAGGGTGACAGGTTAGGGCCAGTCCCTCACGTGTATTAGGGGGGTCCCCCCTCTCCAGTGAATCCTCTCTGTTTTGTCTTGGTGTATCACCAGCATGCAGGCAACGATTTCTGTTCAGTCCCGCTTCATGTGGTACTTCCTCAAGAGAATTAGTTAATTACTACTGCATTTAGTGCTGCATAGCAGAGCTGATAGTGCTTGAGTAAGCAATCTGAGGAATGGCCATAATTTACAATTCACACAGCACAGGACTTTTTCATTTGTAAGCATGCAATATATTAATAGTACTTAATACAATTTATCCTGCTGACAATGTTTTAACTGATGTAAGGACAGGGATCTTACATGTTTATTTCTAACTATACTTTTTACATAGCATCTATATATGCAACAACTGTTATTTACAATCATTTTGCAAAATCTTTACTATTAGACCATGCCTAGTAAGCTAAACTTTTGCTCTGAGCTAATATTTTAAAAGAAACATGCACCATCATGAAGCTATGGAGCATTAAGTAAGCCATAATGTACTGTATAATCTACATTAATTATCTTTTGTGGTGCTCATGATGAATGCTCAAGGATAAGTATCAACACTGAAACAACACAATCAGGATACCAAATGAGATGCAGAAGAATAATAAATCATTTGATGTTTGCAGACTGGTCAGGCTCCTAGACCCTGCGAACCCTAGTTTTTGAGGATGAGATTTAATACAAACCCTTACTGCCAGTAAATATTATTCTAACAAACAATCTAAATATCATACTGGGGTGTATGAAAGTCTTATCTTTCTCTTTAGTCACAACTTACAGCTTTTCTGTGTTTTATACACTCGATTCACTGAACATACTTAGAATCACTTGTATGTGTATAGTTTTGTCCTTGCTTTTAGCACCCTCTGCTGGTAATAAAAAAGACAGCTGGTAATTATCATTGCTGTGGACCTATGTCCCTGAGGAAGTCTGCTATATTAGAACACCATTCTGTTGCTTCTTAAACATTTTTAATTTTACCCAATATGATAAATACAACAGAAACAGACAGGTGTTATTTACCCCCTAAAATGCATAAATGACAGTAAATGTTTTCTGGTAACTCATTTTGTTTTATATAACTACAAACCTTTGTGTCTCTTCCGTGCAATACCACTTCATTTGTTTGTCATTATGATTGACATCTGAATTCAAAACTGCTTCACTCCTTAAATTGTTATGGGTAACCCCCCAAGTATGTAATATGTCCCTAGAATATACTGAATTTTAGTTTGGAGAAAGATGCACACACAGTAAAGAACAACTCTATAATATATAAAAAAACTTACACTGCTTTTAGACCCAGACAGCCTAAAAGCTGTAGCTCCCTGCCAGTTGGCCTGCCCACTTCTGCTACCCACCTGACTGTCTCCGATTACCTGAGCAGACTCAGCTGCTCCAGCTAAGCTGATTCCTACTGCGTCTTTGGTTGTGGGGGTTTAGCTGGCTGGTGGACGCAGCTGTGCGCTCGGACTCGGGCGGAGTCTGACACTTACTCCTCTTGCCGTCCATGTCCGCATGGCTCTTGCGAGTCAGAACCCCGTGCTTGTACGTTGCGGCGTTGAGGGCCAGGGGAATGTCGAGGAAGGGGTTGCCTCCGTCCCCAATCCTGGTCACTTTTTTCACTCCACTCTCAAACTTGTCGTCCACAAGTTCCGACAGGGACTTCCTGAGCTCCTCTTCATCTCTGCAAGAGCAAAAGCCATAAAGACAGAGCTGCACAGGTCATAATACAGATAGGAACACCGCAGGTGAAACAATACACTGCTTGAAAAGGACTCGGTACTGTCAGCATTACTTTATTAAATAAATGACCATATAAATAGTTCTGAAGTCATTTATTAACTTTCATATTAGAATTTCTTAGGTTTGGACTGCTCAAATATCTACAAACTAACAGAGAATTTTCTTTCCATGAGTCACCAAACTACACAGAAGAACTTTAAGGCCTGACTTGTGCAGAATTAGCTTTATTTTGTTTGAAGCGAGTCTTCCACTCTAAATCAGGAAGTGGTGTCATATCTTTGGCAAATTGAATGGGAAAGCTTTTTTCATCATGTTTATGTTGTATAATAACATAAGGGGTTTGGATTTACTAGAAATGCTTCTGCATTTAATATATTTATACACACAGGCTTTGCATGCAAACTGCAGCTACGAGCCTACAGATTAATAAAATCATAGTGGCCACTCAATGACAATGGACCAGAACCCGACTAACTTTCATAACCTTTTCTGCATTGTCATGAAACATGACCAGGTAACAGAGTTTTGTCAGATCAGCCTCCAGCTTGCAGATGGAAGCACTTCAGGAGATAAGTGGAACCTGCCCCATCTGAGTGTAGCAGGCTTAAAAACTAGACTCACAAGAGAAATCGATGCTTGATTTTCTAAAAGTGTGCAATGAGCATTTAGAAGATTAAAAACTGGCTAGCGAGTGCATCTCATATTTGGAATAGAAAGACAAGTGCAGTTATAAGAGCACTTCCACAGTGCAGAGTGATAACAGAGCCGTGCTACAAAAGCACAAGCGGGGAGTTGCTTGCAGCTTCACAAACCATAGTGGACTGAGGTTTTCAGATAAGCTGAAGATCTATTCCCAAACAAAAGTGTTGTTTCCGTAAAGCAGATCCAGCCAGTTACACAGCATAATCATGGCTGTTAATGCCATCTTAAATGTAACACAAAGCACGGTATTTCTAACTGAATAGATTAATTGGGAAGCTTTCCAAATGGTTACCAGCTAAAGTCTTTCATTTGTTTTTCTAGCCTCTCTTTAATTTCACTGTACAATTTTTAAATGGGTTTGCATAATGTGAGGAAGCCGCTTTCATCAACCTCAAATTCCCACTAATTCACCGTTTTCTGACAGAATAACAGATATGCCTTTCAGAATTCACTTTGAATTAACATAATTAAATGAATGACAGCTAATGAAAAGCATAATACAGAACACAAAATTGATACAGGAGGGACTGATTTATATTAACAAGGTTTTCTTGTTAAACTAGCAAACTAAGTCCAAACGATTGAATAAGTCAAGATGGGGGTTTCTTGGCTTTCCTCGAGTCAGGGGAGTCAGTTTTATTTTTATTGCTGACTTGGCATTCACCCTTATCTAGGACAACATACAGTACAAACTGTCCAATAATAATAATAAAATAAATGTTAAAATGAAGTAATTGTAACAAAGTAGAGGAAAAAAAATAAAAAAACAGTGGAGCAGGAACTCATTAGAAGTATAAAGCTTGAGCAGCGCAGAGGGAAAACAATCTCCAGGCAAATGAGAAGGAAATTATTTCCTAACAATCACTGTTGAACACCTGCATGACCTACATCATGTTTCTACACAGACAAAGGGAGACAACTTGATGTCTTTTCACGTTATAGCAAGTAGCTGTTAATGATTTCTGATGAGTACGGTAAATAATGCAAACAAACGGAGATGTATTTCACACACAGTTCTGGGCTCCAGGTGCATTCAATGTGCTCTTAGTACAGGATGTGCCTTCATGCAGAATTACAGTAGGGACACTCTGAAAAAATGTTGGAAAGGATACTTACATCGCCCACTCCAACTTTTCATTCTTTATGGAATTGTACAAAACCTAAGAATAAACAACAAAAAGTGGTAACAGTAAGAAAAACCTTTACAAAAGGAGAAGGGGGGTATATAGGGGGCGTACATATTTTTAGCCTTATTTTGCAAACCACAGACCACGCTCCAAGGAGTTACAATAGTACGGAAACCAAATATTTTGCATCTACAGTAATCACACTTGGTCCTGTGTGTGGCCGTCTCCTGTCACAGTGCTGGCTAGACTCATCATTGAAGACAGACACTTCTCTACAAATCCACTCAGATCTGCAGTTACCACCAAGTGCTGTTTTGTATGAATGGAATCGAAACAGGGGCCTTACCTTCCACCTTGGGCAAACAGCCCAGTGAGTTTGTTTTCTATTCTGTAAGCAGTTTGCCCAGCACACACACACACAGTGGAAAAAGAGGATCCAGATGTCTACTGTTGGGTCAAGACTGCCTGAACATTTAATAAACAGTTATATTTGAGATCCTGTTATAGGGGTTATACTGTATTTAATTCAGGCCATCTTCTATGAAACACGAAAGCTACTTATATGCTGCCCTGTTTATTACATGTAATCACATTTTATATGCCTTTTCTTTCAATAATGAAAATAATATTTTGCATGTTGAGGACTTAAATAAACACTTGACTCATAAGATCAAAATATATTAAATGATTTGGCGTTTACTCATTTATTTAATGCATATAACGAAATCTATAATTTATGAAGCTTTTACTCTGATTTCAATCAGAAGTGTAACAATACCGCCAATCAGTCTCCAAACCTAAAGTTATGTGATGACATTCATAAAAACCTTGTAAGGGTAGAGAATTTTTTGTTTAATGTTTCAGTCGTTTAGAAAATACTTATTTTACTCTTCAAGATATGCTAGACAAGAATGGTTCTAATAATATGTCATAATGCCTAGGTAGTCTTTTGAAAATCCAACAGTTCTTCTATTATGATCATTATTCCTGTTCGTTTGTTATTGCTGTTATTCTAGAGATTACTGTCCTGATAAATTACAGTGTCCAACAAAAGTACTACTACTGATAAAAACAAGGAATTTCAAGAGAGTGAAATTTATCAACAATCCTTCTAACAGAAACAACTTGCCCCATGAAATAACAAGGATTTTGGATCTTCCAGTAAATGTGACACACTAAAAACCACCAGGTTAGGAACATTCTATATATAGCCAAGGAAAGCTGAAAGTTGTGTTTTGAATGGAATTATTTTATGATAAAGTTACCTTCTTGTGGAAAGATAGCTTAGAAAGCTTATTAGCCCATCCTAAAATTTCTTCCTTCAAATAAACACCCAATGTTGACACGCACACACATCTCATCTTGTTATAATATCCAAAGGATTTAAAATATGTATATAAAGCCAACAGACCAAAGAGGGAAATTACTGTGCTAATTTGACTGCCTTCATTTATGCTGGTTTATAGCTGGGGAGCAAGACTTTCCCAGTATTAATGAGCACTTTTGTTAGGATGCATTAATATTGATGGGATGACCAGGTCTTGATTAATCAGAAAGTGGTGAAGATAAATATGACTGTCATTAGCACTTTAATAACCTTCCTCTAGTATTTAACTCCTACAGATGTTCAGCTAACATGATCTTTTATAGTTTTTACCCCATTTACAAGGGGTATTTGTTTTCATTACAACTTATGCAAAAAGCAGCAGAAGTTATCTCTGAAAACCTAAAAGTATAAACAGCTGACAGAAACTAACAAGTTCTCCAAAGTTTCACTCAGCGTGCCTTAGTTTTGTGATACAGAAATATACTTAAAGTCTGAGTCCTTGGGAATAATATATCACTTGTACTTTTTCTGACAGTAATGGCTTTAGTTTATTGCTGTTGACAAGCCAGTTCTCTCTCACTGAAATAAATGTAATTTTCAGTAGTAATATTTAATGAAAGATTCAGTATAAATGTGCTAAGACAGGCTGAAAGTATTGATCAATGAAAGACAGAGAGACAATGAAACCAGAAAAGACAAAATAATAATGATAGTAATTACTTGTTAAGAGTCAACTTCAGTCATTTTTCTCAAAACCTGTCTTGATTTACTGTAGTCTGTATACATCTTAATCATCTGTATGTACTTCTTCTAAACTGTATCTGTTTTCAATTTGGAAACTGTGGCATGTGCCTTATCCCTAGAATTCCCACTGTAACCCATCTAGAAAGGATTTTACAAAACAAGTATACTTCCATGAAGACGTCTATGTCCAATTATGTTAATGCTCACAATACTTATCTGCTCCCATGTCTCTGACTTCTCTCAAGCTCATTAGGTCTTCGTGACTTTCATGGTACTGAATCAATGTGGCCAGATTCCTCTTCAGGTGTCAACAGAATGCATAAAAATTAATCTTCACACGCACTCGAAGAAGGCTCAACGGTCAAATCGTAGTGTTTCTTTTCTTCCCTTTTCAGCAGCCTACCTGATCCTTTGTAGCCCATGTAGCTACCCACTTGAATTAATCTTCTACTCCTACCCTACCCCATTAATCTACTTGAACCAAGAACCAAGCCCTCAAAATGTACTCCTTTTTCTCCAACAGAGGATACCCCAGCAGTGTTATTGACAGGGCCCTTGCCCACGCCAAAACACCCCTCAGACCATCAATTCAATCAGGAACTCCCGCCGTAACAACCGCATTCCTTTGGTGCTTCCCTACCATCCCAACACACTTCCTGTCCCCAGGACTATTAATGACACCTTTTACATCCTACAGGATGATCCCTCCATTGGGGCCCTCTTTTCTGACTGCTTAACTGCTTAGTGTTTGATAAACATGTTGCACAGCACATGTCAAAAGACATTCCAATACAGACACTATGGTTCATAACTATTAACAGCGTAACAAGTACCTGTCCTGTTATTTTAATGCTGACCAGACTACACAGCTTTTCTCAGATTTACATCTCCTCTGCTATTTCAATTCAGCTAGGGCTTTCAGTAAGGCATGTTATGGGCAGGCAGTAAAAGTTAAAAGATACAATGGCCCTGACAGCACATTCACAAACAAATTGGGCAAGTGGGAAATAAATCTTCCTAAAGGCTGGGCACAACTGCACAGTACAGAATTTATTGCAACTCCCATTGAATTCAAAATAGAGGATGGTAGTCTGGAAGAAAAACGATGTCTTCAATTAGCAAACAAGCCTGTCTGGCAGGACATCAAGCCCTGTACCATTCCTTACAGAAGAGACGCGTGACAGAAATATATTTCATAGCTTATCAAGTGGGAAATCAATACAAGGGGGGACAGTAAAAGAATCAGATATCTGCTTTCTGGGAAAATGTAACTGCTTTGTCCTTATCCTCTCAGGATTGAAGTCTTAACTTTCAGTACTGGTAAAGCTACATTTGGGATTTTTTAAAGACATCTAAAATATTTTAAAACATGATGCAAAAAAGAGAAAGGCTCGAGCTTAAATCTGCTTTAGCAGAGCATATTTAGACAGATGCGTCTCTTTCTTGTACTTGGATGGTTGCTTTTTCCACTGTTAGTTGTGTGTAAAGGAGACAGGAAAAGGCAGAACTGCACTGGGAGATACAGGAGCCCTCTTACCTTTCACTCTCCATGATTTTTCACTCCCTGACAGGGTTTTCTCTGAGTCTATTATATAAAGCAAACCTGATGGTAAGCAGAGCTGTAATATATTCAGAGCATGAATAAGTAATACCCCACTCAGAAAGGATCCATTTCACCTTTGCCTTTTAATTAATGTTGACCATGCACACAGTACTTTAACCCACCGCCCTGCGCAGAAATCTCTCACATATTTGAAGCCAGGCTCCATGTGCACAACCAACCAAGCAGAACCACAAGCTAAAACTGACAATCAATAAGCAATGCTTTAAATGGCACAAAAAAGAGAAACGGAAAACATTCTTGTTTGTAGCTGGAACAATGAGAACTGCTTCCTTCTTTTGCTTATACTCCACGCATACCATTAAGTATTGTGCTGATTTCCTGAAAAAATCTTCTAAAGAAAACCCTTTTGTTTCATTCCAGAGAAAACAAAGTACATAGAAAGGTGCAGGTTTGCTGAAGCCTGGTTCAAACTACCTAACTGTGATGTACAGAGTTAACACAAACTTGACATTAATCCCAATTTGATAATTGTGCACCTGTATATTACCTTGAACTTGAACTTTATTGCCCTATGTAACCGGTACATGTACTAGTACAATGGAATTCTTACAGAAAGAATTCCATTGAAACATGAATTCCTGAAATGTAATGTGAGTTGTACATGCAGATAGAAATGTTGTTTCTGATCACTCTTGCCATCCTTGTTTAGAGCCTTGTTAAGAAATTGTCGAAATATTAATTTTATGTTCTTCCAATATCAGTATTTAATATTTATGGGTATACCATATAATTTACCAGTGAAAAACAAATGAAATTTTGGTTTTCACTGAGCACTCAAGAGAGCTGCAGACAGAGTCACAAGGCTTCTGTGACAAATCTGAACAGGGTCAAAGGCTCACAGGCTTGGGATCTACATTACTTCATCAGCCCTAAGTGGGAAGAGCCTTCAGGAAAGACCTCAGAATTCCAGTTGGTGTGTGGGATGTCAGTTTATGGCCGGCTCCAGACTGCCTGTTCAGACGCTTATTTTATATGAAAGGTTAAAAACAAGAGCAGAGGGCATTCAAACTATCTAAACACTATATATTCTTAGAACAGCTTTTATAGAAAAGAAAGTACCTTCAATAGGTCCTTAGGGAAGTCGCTGCCGTCATTGAGACCATCCAGATTGGCTATGAACTGCTGACAGGACATTTTCTTCCCAATATTCTGTAATAAACAGAAAGCACACTTAGCTTTAAGCAATCTCTCCAGAGCAGACTTGCACCTTTTTTTTTAATATGCACCAACAAGAGATGAATGTACGAATAAATAAACAGTGAAATTATGAAAGCATTTCACATGGGCTCTCCACCAAAACCTCGTTTGTTCTTGATGAAATTAGCGGGGTGGGCTTGCAACGTAGGAACATGTATGCAAGCTATATCATGAGGCAACACAGATAACTGGTAACTCACTGTATACAGCAATAGAAATAGTTCATCTCAGAAGAGAGAACTCATGCCTTTTGCCCTGTATTAGAGCATCATTTCGCTTTTCTGCTTGACCATTGGTGTTGCCCTCAGAGCGGCCTGCCCTAGGCAGGACGGACTGCTCCCACTGGGGCATGGGCTGCGCGGTGCCTCTTCCCCACGAGCGAACCCAGGCGGGCAGGTGGGGGTGGGGAGGAGGAGGCAAAGGCACAGCGAGAGTGAGGGTTTGACATGTTTGTACAACGTGGGACGTTGCTGTGTTCTAATTATCAGAACACATGGGGTGCTCTGCTGAGGGTGTGATGACACACACAGAAGGAAGACAGTGGATCTACGCTTGGGTGTTCCTCGGCCATATGTGTAAGTTTAATTGAGCTCCCTGCTTGACTCACTTTTAGCTGCACTTCAAAATTTACTCAGCATTACAATATGATTTTTTAAGGCTACAAATTCTTAAAAGTGCTAAATATTCTATTTCTTCTGATCAAATCCTAGTGTAAACCTGGATTTTTAACAAACTTTTTCATATTCATGAAGCCCCTGTAACCTACTGCCAACAGACTTTATTACCTTATTTTTGCACAAGCTCATATATAGGATATATGCTGTTTGTGAATTTAAGGGCCGTTTTCATAGGTTTAATTGCCACACAACACTAACACCTGGTTACTCTGCGGATGAGGAAACACCTGAAAGATGTTCAAGTACAGCAGTTAAAAGTAACTAAAAGATGTTCACATGCTGTGGCCTGGCTTGCAACATGAAGCATGTGTTTCCCATTCAAGGAAGGCCTGGTAAAAGCAACAGAAATGTTTTAGGAATATAGTCATAGTCTTTTACACCACTTTTATCTTGAAGATAAATGAGAAAATGTATTTTCTTTAAAAAAAAAATTCTGAAACTATGATTTAATCAACACCACAAGCTATAGTACATATAGTACAAGCTATAGTATAATCCTGATACTATCAAAAAAAGCAAGTGGTTCAGCATTCTGGGTCAGATTTATCCAAAACTGGTAATGATGCACTGCATGTGGTGAATCATGACACAATCACTACATCGAACCCAATGTAAGTATGAAGTAAAATTGAAATGAAATGAAGTAAAATGTTTTTTTAAACATATAATAAACACATTTATTTTTAATGTCATTGCCTTTCAGAAATGTTTTCCTTATCCCATTTAATTTTTAACAACCAAGTCTTGAGTCTAGAGACTAGGGTGTTTCTTAAAATATTTTGCCTAAAGTGACAGAAAGCTTTCTGTTGACGCATACACAAGACTGCCACATTAATTCCATAATAAACACAATACACATATACAGTACATAAAAAAGTACAGAATCGTGAAAATGGTTTAATTAAATATAAATTAAAATATATTTTCCATCTTAAAGATGGATATTCAAGTAAAAGTATGACTTTTTTCCATTTCTTGCAAATCCTTTTCCAGATAACTTTAATCTTCGCTTGTACTACTGAAACTACTGGTAATGCTAACAATGAGAGCCAATCAGAAGCTACACATCCAGTTTTCTACAGGTCAACCACTAGATGGCGCTGTTCAGTTGCTCCGCTGGCTTACAATAGGTGACCTAACTACTGCCGTGGAAGAAATTTTTCATGTTATTCACTGCTGGCAAATACATTGGTGCAGGGCTTCCTAATGCAAGTCTTCATGGTTCTCGTTCCAGGTGGACTCTCGGGTGCTTAATAAACTAAAAATGTGATTGATACTTACTCTTTTAAAATTATAATAATTCCTGCAGATTTAAATCCATTCTTAATAACCATAGACTAACTACAATGTGGCATAATCAAGAAGTTCACTTTGTCTGACTTGTTGGAGGTTGAACTCTCGGTGTCGCATTAACTCACAAAGGCATCTACACCAGTGTTCCACCTTTGTCTGGCTTCAATTATAATTCACAAAAAGATGACAATTACAATCTGCTGACATCCCTCCAAAAACCTCTTTGCGTCCTGATTTAGTCATTCCTGAGATTAACACAGTTTTCTTTTGTTTTGGGACGTCAACTAAAAACATGGATTTAGTCAAGTTAGGTCTATGTAGAGGAAACCTCCAAGAAGAATTAACTGGAATTATGTTTGATACTTGCTTTGATAAGAGAGGGTTTCACTGTTGAAGAAGATATGTGGTGTCTGGTGTTCACAGAAAGACACTCATAACACAGCTCTGTTCAGAGCTGCAGGCGATGTGTGCCGAAGCAGAACTAAACTGCACTTACCACCTGAAAGTGGTTATAAGGTGTAAGGATCCAGGAGCAGTCAGGGACAAAGAAAGGATAGAAATTATTAGAAGCAAATGTGCACAGTATGCATTTTTTATGATGTTGGAACACACAGATGGATTAGCCCTGCCCTGCACATTCCTGAAGCACTGCCTGCTGCTTACAGACATTGAAGAAATAAAAAAGAGAAGATACACAGGGGCTTAGTCACAAAGCAACGGTAATCCTCTTATTCTTATTACTTTTCTTGCGAAAGCAAAATCAAATTTCTAATGTATGAAACCTAGCGTGTAACCGTGATTTCTGAATGTATCACCGGAGCTCTGAGATGAACCTCCTCAGCTGTTTATGAAAAGACTTTCTGTGTTTCCTGGGGGCGAAAACTAGGAAAACTTAAGCACAATAAAAAAAAAAAGTTTTAAGAAAAGTTTTCTGTATTAGTTGAAAGAGCATTGAAAAGAAAGCATTTGAAGATACAAAGTGATCTTAGATTTTTCACTGTACATACATGACCATGGAGATCCGTATTGAGAAGCATCAGAGCACATGTAAGAGTGTGGACACCATCTGAAAACACAAAACACAAAGACATTAAATTCCACTGGTTGCTGTCCAACTTTTCACAGCGGTAAACATACAGTCAGAGATAACAAAATAACTTGTAATGCATGTAATTCGCCACTGCTTGTAGAGGAGTGCAGCTCAGTATGACAAGGAACCATGCGGGTATTTATCTTGACTATAGTTAATCAAATCATTTTGTGTTTTAACCCAAAATGGGTTCCATCTCTCTCGTTGGAAGAATGCTGTGTTTGACCATCATGGGGTTAAGAGGAAGGTAATTACAGTGCAACAATAACAATCAACAATGAGATGGATGAAAAGAGTAATCATGCTGGAAACAGCAGTGTGGGGCTTTCAGGCTACAATTGTTTTGACCTCCTGTTATTATGGAGGTTAATTTCTTCCACTTAAAGTGAGGGCTTTACAGTCTGAGTGTTCAAACACATTTCTCCTCCATACATTTTGCTATTATGCTCTTTTCTGCCTGCAGCATACTGCAGATATCTTGTGGAGAGATGCACTTATCCAGGGAAGTATTTCAATAACACAAGTCCAGCGTCTGCTTCTAGCAGTTGCACAAGCAAGCACGTAATTCCTGAGCATGACACAACAACTGCCTTCTTCATATGTACTGGAATTACTTAGCACATTCTGATCCTATGCTACTGAGAAGTTCATTAAATATTTCTTAAGAAACACAATAGGTTTTACATGTTGGTCCACCACGCAAGAATGAGTTAATTCAAAGTCAGAATAAAAGCAGGGCTACTGTAGTTGCAGTAATGTGCAGTTTTAGAAGACTTAGGAATTAAACTAGTCTCCAGTGTGATTTTTTATATCAGTAGTGTTTAGAAAGTCTTTGCTTCTTTCTCAAAGCAGAAGTCCTTACAGTATTTGAACACTGGCATTAAAGATGTTGGTTGAAGCAACAATCAATTGAGAATAAAGCTTAGGAAAAGGAAGGTCCACTTCAGAATTGTTTTCACACAGAGCACATACAGTACTGCTGAAATGAGGGCTGGTCTGTATTCCTGTACATATCAGATCTAAAATGCAAATAGATCTTCATGAAAGCCTTAGTAAAAATTGAGATAACCTGATTTAATGTTTGACACAAAGCAGGTACAGTACATTGGGATTATAAAATTAATAACATGATCCAACAGTAAATATCGACAAGTGAATAAGTGCTGAATGTGAACCCTTAGATTTAGAAGCTGAGCTAAAAGTGGGCTGTACATTAAAACAATCCTGAAGAAAATTTGCCATTTGGATTAAATGCAACTAAACTGCATTGTAATGTTATGGCAGGACCTGATGCAATTAAACCTTTAAATGTCACTGGCGTGAAGCCATTCGCAAGGAAGAATATACCATAATTCCTAATTCCTTACAGCCAATGTGAGAGACTTGATAGTTACAAGAATTGTCTAGTTGTTGCTGCTCAGAGTCTGGGCATTCTTTCCATTTTAATTTCAAACATTATTTATGTTTATCAATGATAATTTTAATTCAAATGCATTCCAGTAAATCTTATAAGCTTTAAATGCTAACATTATATATTTCAGTGCAGTATATCACATACTAAAATTACAGGGATTAACATGGAGGTTACAGTTAACATATCACAAAAAGTATGTTGCTTTAGTTTCTCTCTTCTCTTATCCTTCTCTTCAGCTCTAACCTCTGCCAAACAATCCTATTTTTATTCTGTCATCCAATCGTCCTCCTCCAGCAATCGTCATAAGCTCTTCGTTTCACAACCCTCCCCTTCCTTCATGTACCTCATCTGATAACTTTGTCTCCTTCATCCCAAAAATGTTGAACCTCCATGTTACTTCAACACTTCATCTTGTCAGTCTACTCACTACTCACTCCCTGCCTTCTCCTGTTCCCCTCACAGGTTCTCCCTCCTCCTGCTGCTCTTCTGACACTCTTCTGACGCAGTTACTGACAAGTCCTTCAACACTCGCAGGTTCTGCCCCTTCCTCACCAGAACTTCCACACAGCTTCTTAGATTCTTCAATAGCTTCTATCCACAAGCAGTGCGATTGGCGAACATATTTAGCCATGCCCCTCGGACCACACCTATACCATCTACCTCATCATGATTTCTTATTATACATATCCAGTCATTGTTGACATGTCTGCATTGTTTACATCCAAACTGTTTACTTGTTTACTTGTACATTGTCTACTGTTTGTTTGTATATTGTCTTGATGCACTGTCTGCACTTTGTGTTTTTACACTTGTTTTAACAATAGACTTTCTGTAAGTAAGAATTCCATTGTACCAGTACATGTACCGGTTACATATGGCAATAAAGTTCAAGTTCAAGCTCCATGTTCAGACTCCGGTACTGATCTGCCCACACTCCCTCTTGGTTTGCCTGCCTACACCAGCCACCCACTCCAGCCCATCCACGATTCAGAGAAATGCCTCATCTTTTCTCATGATGCTCCAGACCCTTTATTGGCTCTCTGTTGCTGCAGCATCCAATTCAAAACCCTGATTTTTAACCTGTCACTGTCACGACCACTCTACTCCTGCATATCTTCTGTGTCTTATTTCTCCCTACAATCCCTCCTGCCATGCTCACTAATCTTTTTACTCCAGATTTTCTGTACCCCAGAAATCAAAAGTGCTCAGTACCGGAGTTCCATTCAGTGGCTGATCAAAGCTACGCTGTAAGACGAACAGGACAAAGTTTGGAAACAGAGAAGGCTGTTTAGAAGAAATGCAATTGATCCAAAGATCTCATCCACTCATTTCTTGTAAGAATCCAGGGCATTGTCTTCATCTGTATAGACGAATACTAGTCACCGCTCAAGTGTTCTCAATTTTAATTGGAAATGATAGTTTTCAATGTGTCCCCTGGCTCCTGTTTCATGGTTTGTTTTGAAGACGTCCACCGATTTGACTTGATGAATGCTTTGGAGAATTTTCCATATTTGCTCCATGTCCCCCAGTATGGCCTTCTATTCATGATTAAAAAGGGTAAAAGGGTTCAGTTCTTTCAGCCTGTAGGACATTTGCTTCAGCCCCAGAACATTTCTGGTGCTCTTCTCTGTTCTGATTTCATAGCACCAATAATTTTCACTCTAGTGCACTGCACATTTAAACATTACATTCCAATTTAAATTTGATGCTTAAAACTATTTATCTTAATGGCTTGTATACTGGTTTGCACAAGTATATTGCTTTTCCACATTGTCTAGAAGATGTAAATATTGTGCTTAGACAACAAATATGATCTCTCAGGTGTCAATTACATTGGTTACCATCTGCCAAGAGAATGATAATAGTTTTAAAAATACACTTCTAACTCGTTTTCCCCAGTACTCTCCCTAAATTGGAGCTTTGATAAATTGGTCTAGAGGCTACATAGTGACCAAAGCAAATAATAAAGTAGTTTTAACTATACAATACCACATAACAATAATGCAGAAAGATATTTAGAAGCAAACTGATGTGAAAGTGCATGTCTTTGAATGGATGTTCAAAGTCATACATGATGGTGTGGAGCAATAGGGCACGGTTGTGTGATTCTGTGATACAGCTGATTAGCACATTTCACGAAGACAGAGCCCTAGAGGTTCTAAATATAGGAAGAGACAGACCACAAAAATGCAACAGAAGGTTTCGCTGAGTACTTAAGAGATGTTCCCATGCAAGAGGTAATTTTCTCTCTCAGCATTTGAATGGAAAACAATAATGAGCAGATTACACATCCCAGTGAGCATAATTTGCTTTCTGAATGGCCTAAACTGTCTACTGAGCATATTCCAATAGTCTGTTTTTGAACTTTGCAAGAAAGAGATATGAAAAAAACTTTGAAGACAGAAAATAAAACCACAGCTGCTGTTCAGTACAATGGCGATTTATAACACACAATGTAGTGCCACATCTGATTGATTAAGGCAGGGATGCTCAGCTAGTTTTCAAGGGCTACAATTTCATTTTCTTTTTCAGGGAACCATGAGCTCTCAATGGACTCACTCTACTGGAAATGTAGCCCTCTGCTTTGGAAGTGAAGTGTTGCAGTTATACAAAGAGCTGTAATACCTGATGGCCTATAGTCCTCAAGTTGTGATGTAAATACGTGTAAATATTTTGATGACGACACAATCAGCCTGTTGTTTTACACTCTGTAAACTAGAAAATGTTCCAGTTTCAGTGGACCAATCTTTGTCAACATGCATTGACAATATAAAAAAGCCTAACATATTGATCAGATATACTGAAAAAAAAATCATTGGTAATCTGTTATGTGAAAGCAAATGCAATGAAGAGATCATTTGAAACAGCATGCCGGATGATCCTGTTAAAATGAATGGCTTTCCACAGATACCCTGTATATCTTGTGATGGGTTACAAGCAGACTAGCGGCTAAGCCTTTGCCTTTGTGGCCTCAGGTGCCAGCTGTAGACGTGGGGAACAGAATTGCTGGAAAGGTCATCCTGGTGACGGACTGATATCCTGGCCTCTGCTGGCAACTTCTTTCGGGCTTGTCAATCTTGTTAGTGGTGGCTCATCCGCACCCTGTACTTGACCTAAGTGAACTCAGTCAAGTTGAGCCACCGAAAACCAAGACATTGCCACCCTTGTTTCAGTGAATTCATCCCAATCCTCCACCGAGCTGTATCAGGCAGCTGAGAACAGACTCTCAGCTGCCATGAGACCTGGCCAGGAGGTGCCCCAGACACACTGGAAACACAAGTGCCGGAATGAAAACTAATGGGGGGGGAGAAAGTACAAAAAATATGAAACGGAGAGCGTGCAGTCTTAGCACCTACACGTTTCACCACGTGCTACCACGGAGCAGATCCTGTGTAAAACCAAATGAAGGAATGAGTTCAGGGGAGCAGGAGTTCTGAGTGTTAATACACACAAACCCATGTCTGCGTTGCCCAGGCTGGAGAGGAAACTGGTTCCATCTGTGACAAATCTAACTGTGTGTGGTCACACATCAGCTTCCTTAACCAGGGTTTAGAGACAAGAC